TGGGGAATGTGTGTATGTGTGTGTGTGTGTGTGTGTGTGTGTGGGCGAGTGTGGTGTNAATAATAATAACATAAAGAATAAGAATAAAGAAAAAAATTAAAATAAGAATCATAAAGATAAAGAATAAAGAATAAAGATAAAGATAAGAGTAACATAAAGAATAAGAATAAAGATAAAAATAAGAATAAAGATAAGAATAAGAATAACATAAAGAATAGCGAATAGAACATAAAGAATAAGAATAAAGAATAAAAATAGAAAAAGATAAGAATAAGAATAACATTAAGATAAAGATAAAATAAAGATAAAAAATAGAATAAAAGATAAAAATAAGAATAAAGAAAGAATAAGAATAACATTAAGAAATAAAACATAAAGATAAGAATAAAAAATAAGAATAAAGATAAGAATAAGAATAAACTTAAAGATAAAGAGAATAAATAAGAATAATAAGAATAAAGATAGAAATTAAGATAAGAATAAAGAATAAGAATAAGAATAAAGAATAAGAAATAAAGATAAAAACAAGAATAAAGATAAGAATAAGAATAACATTTCCAGAATATAGAATAAAGATAAAAATAAGAATAAGATAAGAATAAATAAAGATTATTAAAAACAAGAATAAGAGAAGAATAAGAATAACATAAAGAATAAGAATAAAGTAAAGATAAAAATAAGAAGAAAAAAGATAAGAATAAGAATAACATAAAGAATAAAATAAAGATAGAAATAAGAATAAAGATAAGAATAGAATACATAAAGAATAAAGAATAAAGATAGAATAAGAATAAAAGATAAGAATAAAATAATAGAAATAAGATAAAAATAAGAATAAAGATAAGAATGAGAATAACATTAAGAATAAGAATAAAGATAAAAATAAGAATAAAATAAAAATAAGAATAAAGATAGAATAAGAATAAAGATCATAATAAGAATAACACTAAGAATAAGAATAAAGATAAAAACAAGAATAAAGATAAGAATAAGAATAACATAAAGAATGGCAGGGACTTACCATTCATTGCAGTTAAACTTGTAGCTCTTCCCGCTCGGAATGTAAACGCCATCCTTAAAACACGCTGAAAGTCAAAAAAAAAAAAAAAAAAAAAAAAAAAAAGAAAAAAAGAAAAAGGAAAAAAAAGGAATTAATATCTATAACTATATTTATTTTTTATTTTTTTAAAGAATTAAATTGAAAAAAAGGAATTAATATCTATAACTATATTTATTTATTTTTTTAAGGAATTAAATTAAGAGTATTGTCTTTTGTGTCTGTTTGTATCTGTTATTCGTCGTTAACTGCACATCTTAATTGTCTTTGTAAAAGAAAAATAATTACTGTGCATGAGAAGAAATTATAAAAAAAAACAAACGAACAAAAAACAACTTGAATATAAAGGCAATTAACAATCACAAAACAAACACACAAACTATCAAATATTTGACTCAAATGATAAAATTCCTCCAAAAACAACAACATTAAAACAAAGAGACAAATACTCTAAAACAAAAGAGAGAAAGAAAAAGAGAAAGAAAAAAAAAAAAAGGAAGAGAGGGAAACGAAAAAGACAAAAAAAAAACAATAAAGAAAAAAAGAGAGAGGAGAGAGAAAGAAAAACAAAACAAAACAGAGAGAAAAAAAACAACAACAGCGAAAAAATCGATAAAAAATAAAATAAAAGTAGAGAGAAAAGGAAAAACAAAACAGAAGAGAGAAAAGAGAAAAAACCAACAACAACACCGGAAAAAAAAAAATCGAAAATAAAAATAATTAAGAGAGAGAAAAAATAAAGAAAAAAAATAAAACAAACAAATAAAAATCGAAAATAAAAATAATAATAAGAGAGAGAGAGAAAAAAAAAATAAGAAAAATAAAACAAACGAAAATAAATAAAAAGGGAATTAAGAGAGAGAGAGAGAGAGAGAGAGAGAGAGGAGAGAGGAGAGAGAGAGAGAGAGAGAGAGAGAGAGGAGAAGAGAGAGAGAGAGAGAAGAGAGAAGAGAGAGAGGAGGAGAGAGGAGAGAGAGATAAGAAATTAAGAATTAAAAACAATTCGAAGAAGCATCTCGACGTCTCCCACACAAGATGTTGACACGAGAGACGAAGACGCTGCACCGCATTGCAAAGCCAACTTGACATGACGAACGAGATAAGGACCAAGATGACGACCGCGATAAAAGGCGAAACGAAACGAGTCCCTGAGGATTTATGGAGGATGCAAATGGCGGTTAATTGAGTGGGGGGGAAAAAGAGGAGGAAGGAAGGGAGGAAGGAAGGAGGAGGAAGGAAAGGAAGGAGGGGGAGGAGGAGAGGAAGGGAGAAGGAAGGGGGAAGGGATGGGAGGAGGAAGGGGGAGGGAAGGTTGGAAGGAGAGGGAGGGGGAGGAGGGACTAGGGGGAGGGAGGGTTGGAGGGAGAAGGAAGGAGGGAAGGGGAGGAAGGGGAGGAGGGAGGTGGATGGGAGATGGGGGATTGGAGGAGGGAGAAGGGAGAG